TGATTTGGCGAATGACACAATAGCAGGTATGAAGAAGTACTTTTTCAAACATAAGAAAAGGCGCTATTATGTAGGATCGATTATATTGGTAGTTGGATGACAGCATTAATTTACTATAACTCTTCTCAAAAAGCTTGTTTAACCAAAATGAGAGTCATTGTAGTACACGTTTTGTTGCCAATATGATAGAATTTCTATTTCAGTTGCATAGAATTCTCATTTTCTGGAAACTGCGAATCCTTCGAAAGGATTTTTGGCACTAGCTCAGTTGTTCAAGTTTCTTTCTTGGAAGCAGTTGTCGAGTTGCTTAAAATAGTGGTAATCGGCTGAAACCTCCCAACGGTTTTCCCGCCTCATCGTGGCTGGGAGGTGCTCCTGGTTCACCTAAACTGAGGAGGGGTTCGACGTTTCTGTCAGGAATCATAGCTAAGAGTAAGCCAATACCAGGACCCACCACCATCCTGGTATGAAACTAGTCGCATGGTAGCAAATCTCGCTCCGATCCACAAGGACGGCGACTGCTTGTGGTGGTGACGAGCTGGAGCAGATTTTGGCCAGGCTGATTTCGGGACTTCAGGGGACCGTAATTGCTAAAATAGCAAAACTCCGAAAAAATGGAAATTATGCTGGGGCCCGCACAATCAGTGAAGACGGGCACTCCGAGCATCCAATTATCCGATCGGTTGAAATGGCTACAGTAAGTAATGCGGAGTTTCGTAGACCAATCCGTTCAGCTTTTGCAACATTAATTGAGTAACGCGTGGTAGAGCGTTGCCGTACCAGAGCTTCATCGAATTCTGATAGTGTTTGTTTACTGTGCTCATTTTCCAAATTTTTAGAAAGTGGATCAGTCAGGCGATACATCATCAAACAGTCATCATATCCATCTTATGATGCAATTTCGGCTTTCAGAAGTGCTCATGAACTTTATAATGGCAATCTCACTGTTCTTCGTTGAGCTCGTCTGGAGCCAATTTATCAGGCGATGGTAATGAATAGTGAAGCAAATCCTTCTTCATCCTAGCGAATAGTTTGTTGAATACAGGTTCTCATCGCTACGTCCATTTGGCCGCCATCATCTGGTGATGTATGCCTAACAACTTCATGATTAAGACTTATATTTCCTGTACGAAACTTTTTGAACAGTCTACGCAGTGTGGGCTCGGAAACGTTTCTCTGATCCATGCTTTGATAAGAATTCATGTACTTCCCATGGTTATGTCAATGGTTGAACTTATGAAGCAATGTGTTAGTTGGCCAGTGGATTAGGGAGTTGATCGGATTTGTCTTTTGTCCGTCAACTGTACCTGGATTGCTCGACTTTATATGAATTCGCCACACGGTACTTTTCTCCGTAACTGCATTGAACAACCTCGAGTTTGGGTTATACCAGTTTATAGCAAAAACAACGATACAATAATAATGCGTGATATTTGACGCTATGTAAGCTGGATGGATACGAGCGAGATTGAAATGAGAACGAGTAAAACACTTGAAGGAAGGTAGGCGGACACTGGAGTTGGAGCACTTAGGAATTGAAGGACTGGAAGATAAGCACTTGGGGTTGGAACCCAGGCACTGGTAGATTGGAAGACAGACACTAGTTTCTATGACTGCTGGTGCTGCTTATATTCTGACTGTAATGGGTGGGATTTACAGAGGGAGTCAGAGATAGTGCTGATTTAAGGCATGACACAGTATATGCGGAGAAGTGGATCAGATGAGACGGTATGCCAGAGGCTTCGTCAACATAGAACTTTATCAGATAGCGAAGGAATAGTTCGTACATTCTGTAAGGTTATATGAAAAGCGATGCAAAGGTTTATCAAAAGGTCATGTGAAAGAGGTGAAATAGCTTGTACAAAGGCTTCTACCGAAAGTACATGTCGAAACAGTCTAAAGATTTATACATTATGAATGGATAGATTTAAGATAGTTTTAAGTAAATAGTTAGTATAGGAAATATGTGATATTATAGAGAATAGGAACTATTTAAGGAATAGTTACTATAAGTAAGGCAATACGAATTTCTTGCGTTATGAGCACTATTTCAACAAGCCTGAAGTATTATAAATTGTGTTAAAGGAGAAAGAAAGCTCTTGATGTTGATCAATCCCTGAGCGATACGCCATGCCTTCGACTTCGTTAAGCCTCATTGGAGGTGATTGAATGCATATCTGAGCTTTAAAATGACTCGTGGTGGCCTACAGATGTATCGAGCCAATGCTTCTATCCTCCCAGACAAGTCTGGTACCAATTTGCCGACCCCAGAAGAATGGAAGGCTTGGTGAGCCCGTGGCGCAGGGATCGATCCTACGTGCCTTGCAGGACGATTCCGACCACTGCGTTACACGCATTCTATAGAAAGAATATTACTAAGAATATTACTTACAAATGTTATGGAACGTGTAACTTTTAATGCGATAAAATCAGCCATTATTGCTCCGGTGCCTAGTTGACTATGTGTTTCTATCGCTCTACTTTTTTCAGAAGAGCAATCTCAAGATCACTGGTGCACCGTGAGATTGTCCTTGAAGGTTATCCACATGTTTTTCTCGAGTTTCATGTTCATGGCACATTCCAATGCTCTTTTAAGTAAGAAAATTCTCTTTGTTTTTTCTATTTAGAAAAAGTAGAGGTGCTACAGTATGGTAGTGAATACTAGTTTGTTTGGTATGTCTTACCTACATGAAGGAACTGTCATTACTTTGTACAACATCAAGAAGCAAAAAAATTTGTTGTTGAGTTCAATTTGTTACACTTGGTAATGTCAAGAAAATCCTTATCCATAAAGGTCGAAACAACTTCAGTGATCAATCTTTCCACATTCATTGCAAAGTGTAGGAACGTATAACGGACGATATGCATTGATTTGAATACATGCGCCGAGAAGTCATTGCACGTCTCAAAATGAACCAAATATCTCAATACATAGGAAACTTCATTAATTGAAGTAAAATTCGCTGCGTCTTGAGTACACAGATCTTTGTTAACGAGGTGCAACTTTTCTTCTTCAGCTATAAACGTCTAATCCACAATGTATAACTTTTTATTTACTGCCTAGTGCTTTTTCATGGTAGAGCATTATCTGAAATAAAGCCACAATGATACTTAGATATGAGCAGAATTAGGAACCACATGTCAGCTTCGAACTCGCGATTACATTTTCCCAGCGGTCACATTTACCCACTGGATCACCGAGGCCTTTGCTTTGCGTTTCCGTTGGCCACTTCTTTTTACCCTAAGAGTTCTGTCAGCAATCACACGTCAACGGAATTGATCGGGGGTGCACAAATTAGCATTGAAGCCATTTAACTTAAGGCTGTAGTCGAAGCCACAATGTATAACCTTTTATTTTGTGCCTATTATTTCTCCATGACAAAGAATTATGTAAGATACGACCACAATGATGCTGAGCTTTGTAAGAAAAGTATAATTCTTTGGAACAAAAAGGGTATTTTTGCTGCTTTTTTTCACTCAAGAGGGTGTATTTTCAACACTGATGCGAGCGAACCGACCGGATGTACAGCAACAGTACTGGATTGTAACCATTGTGTCGTTCATGTGTTCGGCTGCTTCCAGTACCATATGTGCTCTTAGAACGCTAGTACATATTCTCTTACATAAGCAGTTATAAGATCGTCATCGAGGGCACGCGCAGCGCGGTGGTCGGAGGGGGGGAGGCTACAATACGCATGGGATCGATCTCTACACCCCAGACTCACATTTTATCTCTTCGGTGTCGGAAAATTGGTACCAAGCTTGTCTGAGAGGATAGCAGCACTGGCTCGATACGTCGGTAGGCCACCGCGAATCTTTGTAAAGCCCAGATATGCATTCAATCGCCTCAAACGCTGCTTGATGTAGACGGATGCATGGTGTATCTCTCAGGAATTGATCAATGCCGAGAACTTTAAAGCTTTTAGCTTTAATACAGTTATCATAGAACCAGCATACGGCTTTAAGTGCCATAATCTCTTAACTGTTTGGCTGATGACTATGTTGAGAGGACAGGAAATCTCATATGACCATAGTAAATCGATAACAGTTTAGAATTAGTACTTGTAAGCTATTAGTACTATCTTTTCAGATATAGTATCGGACCGTTTTGCCGAATTCATTCTTCGAAGAGATGGTCTTACGATTTCGTTTCTTGTTGGTGGGATTAACGACCTTTTCTGAGATGCGGCCTTCGACTCTAGTAATCTGTTCAGTCAGTACTACTTAACTGTGTATTACTACGTACTTCCGTACTGCTATCGTCACCCTAGTGGGTTGAAGTAGTTTTTGTTTGTGTCTAAGGTATGTTCCGTACGGAGAGCGTGTGGTGACGATTGAGGTCGTCCGTCGCGTTGCTCTGTTGAGAATATCGTGCCGAATCGTGAGGGTAGCGATGAATTGACCGACCGTATCAGCACGATTCGTCGTCTCTGCAGAGATCGTTCGTACATTTTGACTTTAGTAGCTCTCCAATCGATCCGATCGATCCATATCTTTTCAGATTCTTTATTGTTGTAAGTATTTGTACTTGATGTTTAATATAACCACAATGATGCTGAGATGTTTGCAAAGCTCCGGACGGCAAGGGTCTGCGGTGGCGAACAAACTCGCTGTTATCCGTTCCGGGGGCTAACATGTTCGCCACCAGGCTATGCGAGTCCTTCGTTTTGCCTTTCTTAGCCGTGTTTAGTTTTCTATTTCTCAGGAAACGCCATGTATTCATAAATTCTAGCTTCTTGTGTTTTTCGCTATATATCTTGTCATTGGCACATTTCAACCTTAGTAGCGCCCTGATCGATTTGTATCTTTTTCGCGTACGAGTACGGTTAATTGTTATTTTAACTATTTTATCTTCTATTCGTAAATTTTTGCTTATCACCTCTTTTTTCTTCCTGGAATCGACGGTTTCTTCATATACGTCTTATATTTTGATCCTAAGATCTCTTTGTTTTGAGTACCATTCTCTTTGAGTCAAGTCCTAACGGCAGTTTCGTAAGTGAATGGTAAGCGCAATGGATGAGCAGTTAGCGGATTGTCGTGAGGTATTCTGCTACTTTGATAGCAGAGGAGACGAGAAAATCAGCGTTCAGCAAGTTTGTGAAGAGATTCTCTCTCATTTTTCCTCTTTTCCTGATTTCCAAGTTTCTTTTGGTGGTGTTTATGCGCTGTTTTTCTTTTCAGGTTGGTGATGTTCTTCGTGCCCTTGGACAAAATCCAACTGAGGCGGAAATTGGACGGTGCTGTGCTGCTTATGAGAAGGAGGCACGTCTTTCGTTTGAGGATTTCGTTCCGATATTTCAGTCGGTCAGCAAGAATCGGTAGGTTTTTCTGACGATATCTAAGAAACTACCGTTTGCACTCGTGATCATGGTGCATTGGTTTGGTTTTTGAGAAGTCCAGCGTCTTTTCAACTTATAAACGAAGTCGGAAAGTCAATCGGAAAAAGTTCAATTCTTTTTGTTGAGTAAGAAATTGATGAATTAAGTGCGGTTTTACTCTTATATATGTCCACTTAAACGATTTCGTTTTAACCATAATGGTGTTGTCTGCAGTGTGGATTGAACACGCGATTACCCCCTTCCGGGAGTTAACGCGTCCTCCACAACGCCGTGCTGGTCTTTCGTTTCGCCTTTCTCTCAGCAATTTTTAATCTTAACAGAATTAAACACCAAGGAACACTCGAACTGAAGAACATTTCAAATGGATTCAATTTCCTTTATTGTCAATAGTCCCCACTTTGTCTACTTTTCTATTTACTGCCTACTACAATTTTCGCGGCAGTATATGATCCGAAATTAACCACTACGACGCTGAGATATTCGCAAAACTTGGACCCTGGGGTAGATCGGAGGAAAAGTAGGGCCAGCTTTTTCGAAGGACATGGTGGGTCTTGGACGTTAAGTGTAAGACCACTTATTTCTATTCGCTTTGAAGAGTTAGTGTAGCCACGAGCAGCTCTAGGTTGCCGTAAGTTCGCTGTTAGCTGGAATTTCTTATGGAACTGTGTAAGTTCTTAGCCTTGGGAGACGCTGATGAGTACCTTACTGGATCGCGATTCTGCATTCAGAGAAACTCGTTGGCCATTAACGTAGTGGACGGTCAGAAAGTGTGATAAAATAGCCAGTGTGTGTTATGGAACCTTCATTAATGTCGCTGATACACGGCGATTTGATGAGTCTCATGGATTATTTTAATTAATGTTTGAATCTAAAATACACATATATGTTGTATCACTTGACATTTATGAAGATTATGGAAGAAGAATGCTGTGGTTTCAAGTGTATACTGTTAGGACTGTGGTCTTTAAAGTTTCGTTTTTACTGAACATGTCACTTTTTTAGGGAAAAGCATAGTGTTGAAGAGTTTGTCGAAGGTCTTTCTCATTTCGATAAAGAAGGAAACGGACTCATTAACGTCGCAGAACTACGTCATCTACTGACGACTTTAGGTTTGCTATAGAGGTTGTTCATTATAGAATGAAGTCTTCGAGACTTGGAATCTTGTAATCTTCTGTATTATTTGAACGTCACGACTAGTAGTCAAGGAACTGCTAGATTCAATAACATGTTGCCAGCGTGTTATATGCCAGAAGATTCCATCCAAATGTTTGGAGTTTGGGAGCGGCTACAGTGATCGATTGTATTTTGACCGATTGTCAATTAGCGAATAACCTTCCTCGGTTTTTTGCAGTTGTTTGAAGGAGCCATCCCTTAGTTTTAGTCTTGGCAAGAAAGACTAATAACGCACCGAACTCTTCTAAAAATCGGATAATATCTTACTTTTAGAGCTTTTTGTATCTCCTAGACGTTTTGAGATGGTAGGCAGTTATTTCTATAAATGCTGCAAACTCTTCATTGTAGTTGTTGAGTAGCATGCCGTGGTGCAATTATAGAGCGAGGCAAATTCTTAACCTAGAAATGATCGATAAAGTGTTCGTAAATGAGAAGTTGTGTTGACCCTACTGAAAGCAACTGAATCTTTGACAATGTAAGCAACTTAGCAACTTGAACTAAGCAGTTTGCAGTCAGCAACCTTATATTTAAACGTCTCATGGTAATAAGTGTATTCTACTTTCGTTTTAGGTGAGCGTTTGTCGGATGAAGAGGTTGATCAGCTTTTGGCTGGACATAACGATTCTCATGGGAACGTTAACATCGCCGACTTTGTTCGTAATGTGATGAACTCTTAAACATCAACTTTTCTTTCGATTTTAAATGGTTTCTATTGTACATCAGCTGTTTATTCCCAGCTTTTTTCTCACTCTGATGGTCATCACTTTTCATCCAGAACCAAATATTGACCAGTATTACCTTGGTTAGCACTCATTTGCTTCACTGTTCTTGCTTATACTATTGTGCCTCTCATAGCTAAGGGCATTCTTACTTTATAGGCTATTTTATGTTTGTAAAAGTCCCGATAAATGGATTATTTTTCCTTGTGTTATTGTCGCAGCAAAGGTTACCGGGTCTTTCGTTTCGTCTATTGTATCGCCTTCTGAAATATTTATGATTAAGTTACTGTACTTCAATAACAATGTTGTAGTTTTTACACTGGGGTTTTAGAAATGTCTGTACAAGGAGGTGCAAGTGGTGGTGGGGATACCACCAACTATGGAGATGATCCTGACGTAGGAGAGGGTTCAGCAATGGACGCTAGTCGTGACATTACGCACGTGAAGGCGATCTTAGATGAAGCCGGTATTGTAGACTATGACCCTCGTGTGGTACATCTTCTTCTCGACGTCAGTTCAAGCATTTTAGACGCGATTGAATGCTATTAGACTTTATGAGAGTGTTTTGGTGAAGGGCGTACTTTCCTGTTTCCAGGGTTACGCTATAATACGATTTTCCAGTTACTCTACGCGACAACGTCTGGTTTGCTGACCAAAGCAAAAGCTATTTCGCAGCATTGCGGGAAAATTGTGATCGATGAGGCCGATGTGCAAATGGCCGTGGACTTTAGTGGTGAGATGTTTTTAAGATACTACATCAGCGAGTCTAACTATTTTACTTTTTCTTTGATATGACGGGTTCTGGCTTTGTGCTTCCAGCAAACTGCAACCATAAGCTTAGAGGAATTTAAAATTCTGACCAATCAATTGGACACTGGTTAAGGTGCCCAGTTTTTTTTTGCAAAGAACACGTGGGATGACCGCAATCCCTTTCTGTATCTTTCGAATTGATACAGTTTTTCTGTGAATTTTTCGTTATTAGTGGTTTCTATGTGCTACATGTCCTTTAGGTTCTTCTACCTACCACTCCGGTTTTTGGAACAAATATAACTTTTGTGTAAAATGAAGAAAATTTCATAACTTAGTACATTTTGGCATTTTTATATGCCTTCTGTATCCATCCATTTCGTGCGATAACAGCGATGCATCACATCAATCAAAAATAAATGGCAACTGCCCAAAATTTTAATGTTATGCGGTTGAACTACCGTAACAAAGGAAAAAACTGTCATCTGTAGCCTGCTCGTCATAGAGAATGAATAAGAAAGCAGTGAAGACACTGAGCCAAGTGGGTAATCTGTTGTACTATCCGTCGAATAGACTATGAAAATTTGATCGAAAGGTAGTCATGAAAAAATCGGGAGTGAGTGTTCGAGGATGTACCTCGTAACCGTTGAATCTTTGCTAGAAGTAAATCGTTAGTGCAACTACAGCTTTTGCTTTGGTTCATAACTAATGAATTTTTTTTTATAAACTACTCATCTCATGTCTCATAAGAACGCGTGTAGCACGGTGGTCAAGGGCGCCTTACAATATACATGAGATCGATCCCCGCGTCCAAGCATAACTAAGCCTTCCTTCCTTCCGTGGTCGGAAGATTAGTGCTGGACTTGTCTGGCAGGATAGCAGCACTGGTCCGATATATCGGTAGGGCACCGCGAGTCGTTGTAAAAACCAGATAAGCATTCAGTGGTTTCCAATACTTAATGAAGTCTAGTGCATGGCGCATCTCTCAGGGATTGATCAATGCCGAGATGAAAAGTGTTTATTCACCTCACTGTAAACTAGACCAACATATATGGAAAAGACAAGAACCAGTCGCTTGAGGAGGTTATTGTTGAATGTACGAAAAATTAATTACTCTCTACCTTATGTCAGACATCCATGGATAGGGTGTTAATGTAGTTGCAGAATTATAGCATATGGAGGCAGCAACACCTTCAAAACTGGACGTCTGGTTAAATCTGGGAATGAATCTGTTGGTGATTTGTTGTGTAAAGGAAGGCCGATAGTTGGTATTCTACACTCATACCTCGTTGGATGGGAAATTGTTACAGAGAACGATTCATTTGGTCGACATGCTTTCCACGTAGCAAGTTGAGAGTGCGTTTAAAGACCTCGGCCAGTAATAGGTGTGTTATTGTAGTTATGAAATTGTAAAATCTTTATGGCTTATATACGGGAGTTCCTTTTACGACAAATCAGCAAATACTAGTAAAACAAGTATAGTTTGCCTTAATCAACAATTGAAGTAATGAAAATATTCATTGGCCTCGCCTTTAGGTGGAAATTGTGAAGTTGGGCGATTACTAGATCTCCTAGTCCGTTATATTTTTAGATTTGAACCGATTGAGTCCAACTTAATATCACATTAAATGCCACTTCAATTTTTAACTTGGAATGGTTTAGGTATTCTTCATGATATTAGACCAAAACGCGCTGAAGTTCTGAAAATGGCCAGTGATCGTAACGGGCAGCCGTTGCCCCAGGTTCGACATAACTTTGGTTTGAAACTTCCCAATGACAGGTTAGACTTCATACTTTTTATTGATACTTTTTCTTTACATGACCCATCTTCACGTTTATTGTGTGGATGCCAGCATTTCTTGCATCCGCTTCGTTTTCCTCCCGTTCAATGTTCACAAAGGACTTCGAACATTTCCTGTGTTGTTTCGGATGCTGCTTGAAGATTTCATCTTCTTTATGAATGTGGTAGAACGTCGTTTGTATGGATTCTCTTCGAGGGGCTCAAACTAGTGCCTTTGCTTCCTGAGTTACGGCATCACTAACCAGTGTGCCACCCTCTCTGCCCTATATTAATGCTACTCATAACATCAATAACGTGTTGATTTGATGTCGATGGTAAGTTAACAGTTTATCTTTAGGTTCTGTCTTCTGCAACCTAACGTTGAATGGCGTGACTCAGATCGAAATACAACAGATTTACTGTCGAACAACAGATCTATACCAATTGGGCAAATGTCGGCTACTGGACCTTATGTGGATGATAGTCTACAACAACTTCGTCCTGAACATGTTACAAATCTATTGAAAAGATCTAATGAGGAAGATTTTGATGTATGAAACTGGCTTTTAAAGCATATAATAGGTTTTATATGGTCATTTTTCCTCGTTACTTAGTCTTAACTCTGATTGTGTTTTCTTTGTTAAATTAAATATCTTGAGATCTCTGTGTAGTATTTTCTGCATAGGCTGTGGAATCTATGTTTTGTGAGATGTGATAAAAGGTCACTGTATTCTCGTCAACACAGTGTCAATGCGAATGTTGTAGAACAAAGCGGACGATATGTATTGATTACGATGCATCCCTTTCAGTGTTTTATTTTGGTGCACGGAGTTTTTTTGCTTTATACTTTATAGTCACTCGACTGTTCTTTGCTCTTTGCTTCTCACGCTTACAGAAAAACTTTAATATGTATTTTTTTCCTTTCGACATAGCCACTGTTGCTAATGAAGGGGGCACTAAGATATCTTGTCTTAGATAGACTGTTGTTCGTGGTTGGGATACTACGATATTCTGATTGTGGCACAAAGGCTTCGGGTTCATGGATGGGTTTCCACGCAATGCATCTTTGAAAATAGTTCTCAATTCTTAAAGCTAGCTATTCGTTGATAATTCAAACGACATTCTCAAGAACATTATTTGCAGCCTTGTGATCCCTCCAGGTCACACCCACCTACATCCAGAAATTTTTGAGTAGAACTTGAACTTGTTCCAATCACTGGGGAATTTTTACATTTAAATAGAGCTCCTTAAATAGGAAGTACACTATGCAGTCAATACTAAAGCTCGTTTTGTGACATATTTGATTATAATTTCAATGATGCTGAGATATTTGCAAAACTCCGGACCGAAGGTGTCTGCGGTGGGGAACGAACGCTCTATTACCCTTTCCGGAGGCTAACGCGTTCACCACCACACCATGCGAGTCCTTCGTTTCGCCTATTTCTCAGCTAGTTCTATCGATCAGTGCCATCAGCGGGATTGATCTGGAGAACCCAACTATTTAATTATATTTTGACAAATTCTTGTCAAACTTCACACGGACTCTATTTTTCTATCATGTTACTAATTTCATCCAGCTATTAATCAAAGGCATGGAAACACCTCCATATCAAAGATATGTCAATTATACTAGCATCATGAAGCCATTCTTCCAGACCTTCTAGATGTTCTTACTGTAGGTCCTTCATAGATTTACTAAACACCTATAAGTGACCAAGTGAAAGAATAGGTTTAGACTATAGGTGAAAAGGGACAAAAGTTCTCTGGTTCAGGGTTTCAGCAAGAGAGACACTTGTATGTATTACTATACACAGTGTTCATTTGTCTAACAGGACGTTCATAAACCTAGTCACTATTGATTTATCATCATCCTAAACTTCTAAAAGAGTTCTGTACTACCACTGTGGGTTCTGCTCGCTCTAGGGACTCGTCGAGCATCATATCTTTCTTCAAGGCTCTTTGTGAAGAACTCTGACCATCGGGTCGGTGGTCTTCCTGCAGTATGTTTGAACCACGAGGAAACCAGTCACTAACGGCTCTTGTCCATCGGTTGTCATTCATACGCATTACGTGTCTGGCCCACCTTATCTTCGACTGTTTGGCGTACAGAACGGTTTCTTTGATTTTTGATCGTTGACGCAGATCGGAGCTTCGGATCCCATCCCTTACTTGTGTGGAACGGGATACTCCTAGCATCGTCCCTTCGACTGCGCGTTCGATAACGCTGAGTGACCTTTCATCCTGCTTACGTAGCGACCAGGTTTCTGACTTAATGTTTATAACCACAATCGTGCCGATATATTTACAAAACGTGGAACCCAGGCCAGATAAAAACGACGATTACTCTTTCCGGGAGGTTCAAGTGTTTCGCACAACACCACTGATGCTCTCATTGTGCCCTTCTCTCGACCAGATTTTTTTTTACCCTGACCGTGCCATCAGCAATCACATGTCACCGAGAATGATATGACAAGCACAAGTTGGCATTAAACCCAGTTAAGCTGAGGCTGAAGTAGAAAGTACAATGCTGACTTTTTATTTAGAGCCTATTCCTTATGCCTATTTCTCACCGCAGAGTATGATGTGAAATACAACCACAATGATTCTGAGATATTTGCAAAACATGGACTGGGTCAGTTCTTCAATGATTACTTGCTAGAAGGCAAGTTTCTATTGAACGGAAAACTAGCAACACCGCGTTGTTGTTCAGGAAAGGCGATCTCCACGATGTAAGCAACTATCGCGCAATCTGCTTACTCCCTGGTGTCTACAAACATTTCTCTCAGTCACCCTAAATAGGACTGACAAAACACGGGAAGGACAGCCATGTGAGCAAGCAGGGTTTCCAAAAGGATTCACTATGATGGACCAAATCCATGCAATAACAAGACTAATTGATGTGTCGCGAGAGTACAAAAGACCACTCTGTTTCACTTTCGTCAATTTAAAGAAGGCCTCTGACTCAACTGAGATAGAAGCAGTCATGGAAGCCGCTGACAGTCAGGGAGTCCCTGCTAACACATAAAGATTCTTCGTCAACTGTACAAAAATTTCACAACCATGATATCACAATTCTACAGCGATATTAACATTGACGTTAAAAGAGGGGTTAAGCAAGGCGATACCAGCTTGTCAATATTATTTACCGCTACCCTCGAGAACGTGTAAATATGGCCATTGGAATGGGACAACATGGTAGTGGAAATCGATGGTCGGCAATACACCACCTTTGCCTTGCTGATGACATCGTTCTTATAAGACCAAACATTAGCCAAGTGGAACGTATGCTTGACGACTTTGATAAAGCCTGTGGAAGGATCAGTCTTCGACTAAATCTCACAAAAACGATGTTCGTGAAGAACGGATTCTCCAGAGCTGAGCAGAAGGAAACGAGCGGCTTGGGGAGCTTTCAAGAGCATCGAGGATTTAGTGTAGAGAACAAAGAACATTCGACTCTGTGTCCACTTTTCGACAGAACGGTACTTCCCGTCTTAGCGTATGCGTCAGAAACCTGGTTGCTGCGTAAGCAGGATGAAAGGTCACTCAGCGTTATCGAATGCGCAATCGAAAGGACGATGCTAGGAGTATCCCGTTCCACACAAGTAAAGGATGGGATCCGAAGCTCCGATCTGCGTCAACGATCAAAAATCAAAGATGCCGTTCTGTACACCAAACAGTCGAAGATAAGGTGGGTCGGACACGTAATGCGTATGAATGACAACTGATGCACAAAAGCCGTTAGTGACTGGATTCCTTGGGATGTCAAACGTACTGCAGGAAGACCACCGACTCGATGGTCAGAGTTCCTCACAAAGAGCCTTGAAGAAAGATATGATGCTCAACGAGTCCCTGGAGCGAGCAGAACCCACTGGGCTACTCTTGCTCGCGACAGGGAAGATTTACTGGCATCCGCTCGAGTCACTCGACGATCAACGGAACTACAGGTGGTACAGGTGCGCTATCCACTTTGTCTATGCATCAGTGGTAACCTTTAGGTTAAATGTAGTTATCTATATCTTATTTCATTTCAATATTTTTCTTCTTTTACACTTCCGCAACAGCGTAGATATGGAAGAAATTTCATTTCATAAGTGAACATAATGTATCACAATAAGACGAACCCAAATGCAAAAAGGCACAAAGTCACGCCTGAAATACACGACGTTTTCGGTCATGGTTGGTTGACAGTTCTCAACTGTAATGATATAAAATACAATCAATCATTTGTAATGGGTCTTCAGGTTGTTCTCATCCATCACGTCACTATAGGGAAGTTGTCGCTGAACAACTCTGAGAAGTAGAAGAGGAAGAAGGATAAATAGGTACAACTAATTACATAGTCACTGGGTAACGAGGAAACAAATGAAGAATAGAAATTTAGCAAATTTCATGGACAAAGACATTGAGCAGATTTGTACACAAAGAAATTTAGAAGATTTTATAGACATTTTGAACCCCTGATAAGAAGTTAAAATTCGAAGTTCCGATATTTTTCCAGGCGTTTACGTTCATCAACGGTCAGCTTGTGCATGGTGATTCCGCATCCGAAAAGAGCGAATTCGAACGGCCTTAAATGGAGTATGATGTAGGAAGAAGATGGATTGGACCGAAAAACGCAACACATCAGTATATGAGATAGAGATGAAGGGTAGAGCTTCTTGCGTTGATCAGTCGCAGAGGGATGCATCATGCATTCGATTCTACCCGCGCCATCGCAGGAGTGAACTGAATGCTTGTTTGGTCTGTACTTGGAGAGGCCTTCCAATATTAAGCCAATGCTACTCTACCCTCAGACAAGTGTGGTACCAACTTGCCGAATCCATGGGGTTGGAGGGTTTGTGAGTTCGGTACGGGGATCACCAGCAACCGATCTATTGTCTATTGCATGGGACTTCTAAACCACAGCACTACAAGTGCCGCTAACACTATATGAGAGAAATGGAGTCATTACCTCGAATCGAGAAGTTCGAACGATCGAACACTATGCAGTTCATGACAAGTAGATAAAATGAAGGTGACCTAGAAGAGACGTTTGTCCAATATTAGATATGAAGGTCTTTTCACTAAGATACTTAAGAGTATTACCTCAACCACTTTGCCAGCTTCAACGAGAACCGAATGGATGAAAATGGATGACTCAGTAAGGGAAAAGATGAAAAGTTGATCACCCGTTGAAAAAGGCTCAGCGCGGACGCGAAGAACTATAAACGGTTAATGAACTTCGACAATGTCCTATCGTACACGTTTGTATTGATAAACTGATTGATTACTGAGCAGAAAAAGTACAATTCTATTCTTTCATAGTATAAGGAGCAGCTTCGTCATGAAAAGACGACCAATCAGCTGGTGAAACTTTAGAGAAAACTTTGAAATCATGGACGGAAATTCAGAATCTTAGCTTTATTGTTAAAGCCGCTTTCAAACCTACACTTTTTCAAACAGAGAACAAAATGCATTTTCGATCATTCGTAAGTACACATCTATTTTGATTCGTTCCAACTCTGAAGTTATCATATTATCACTTGAGATTCAAACGTTAACTTTCCGAGTCCTTACATTTTAATATTTTACCACCACCGTTTGCACTAACGCGTAGGTGAACTGAACAGGTTAGAATTGACCCTCGATTCTCACAAGAATTATGTTCCATAACCACTGAAGTGTTCTCTCAGTCACAAGTGATACACTAGCTAAAGTTTTTCTAAAGAATTATACCAAACAAATGACAATAAACCCAACCAGTTACAGGACGTAGATCACTGGCCGGATGGCAATCGTCAATCCAACCAACCGAATCCAATTTGCCAGTTCCTTTACCACGTTCTTCGAATAACTGAACTCGACTGTCTTTGTAGCCGAGAACAAGGTAGCAGGATTTACCCACTACCCGAACCATTGACGTAATCGAGACTTCCATCTAAAGTTGCGGAATATTTGAGAGATATGCCTAACACGGGTAAACAGTAAAGGTTGACAGGTCAGTAGGAATGCTCGGGCAAAATGAAAACATTTCACGATTGCATGGGACAGTAGTTATTCAATATTTTTGACAAAGTATCGAGTTTTGTACCAATTCCTTACTTGGATACTTGGATAATCCGCCTTCACTGGTTGTGCGGGTCACAGCATAATTTCCACTTCCTCAAGCAAACACTCTCTCGGAGTTTTTCTGGTTTAGCCATTGTGGTTGCTTGGAGTCTCGAGGTCAGCTTAGCCAAAGTCTGCCCTAGCTCGGCACCACCACAGGCAATCGCCGCTCTTGTGGATCAGAGGGAGATTTGCCGCCATGGCACTACTTTGATATCAGGGCGGTGGTGGATCCTACTATTGGTTAACTCTTAACTGGGCTTTCTAGTAGAAACGGACTTCTTTTCAACTTGGAAGACCTTGCCGGGGAATGAATTCCCTCGCTGTTAATCGCAGTTCGACACTCAGGAATACCTCGCAGCAACGATCACGCGGTAAACCGTTAGGAGGTGTGTATCCTTTGTAGCAATTAATTAAGGTAAATCGAAAAACCATTGTAAAGAAGTAATGTACGACAGAGTAAACGAAAATTCACAAATTAATAGGAAAAATAGAGATCGATACGCATCGTTCGCTATAGCTGTCAATCTGCACACTAAAACCAATGCTTCACCCGTTATGTATCGAACAGTGATAGTGCTTTCGTAATTCATAACCTACACAAATTAAAGTTTGTTGATTTACTACCTTTTTGAGCTCCATGCGTTCACTTTTCATTTTCTTTTGTTGATGTCTATCAAGATCGTTCCATACTTGCAACGTCTTCCCATTCGAAGCATAACATCCCATCGGACGTCCGTGGAAGCAGATCATCTTAATGCGACGACTTCTATTCGTATAAGTTCGCCAGTAACAATAGAAAGTAACACTGAGAGGCACGTTTTCTTGCCATAGTTATCATCGGGTCATTCGACTGAAATGCTTAGAGAAGTTCTCTTACCAAACACTCAGAAGCTTAGGTGACCAAACAGTTGACACCTCTACTCCGCATCAGGGAGGAATGAAGGTAAAAGTTCGCTTTATTGTAAACTCACCAAGGAAACACAATGAAGCGGCTCTATTTGAGCCACAAATTTCTCCGACACCGTAAATTCGTGTTGTCCAGTCAACAAAGCAACGTAAGTTCTAAAGGAATACAGAGTTCAAAAACAAAAAAAACACTTTGAAAAATCAAATACATTAAATTTCAGCGGTCCAATAGTTTAAGTAACCCACAAATAGCTGGTATTAACAATGAACCTTACGTAGCTACTTAGAAGTTATACTATTCGGTGGTTGTTCAATGAACACTTCGTATGGATTGAAGCAAAACCTCGGGAGTCTAGCTAACAGTGGATATCATGGTTTTGTGATGGTTCACAACTACCGAGCCCAAGGACCTATGACTTTGATTTTTCAAAAAGAAGTGGTACGTCAAACTAACGGTAAAGCCGTTCTTTACTGCTTAGTTTTTAAATATTTAATCGAGTTCATCTCTTCCGTCACAGTACTTGCGTTTCAGTCAAAATAAAAAATCAAATATCTAAGCACCTTATCGCTTTATCTGCATAGCCAACAGAATATCGAAGTTTGCAGGGAAGTGGTCGACATTCCATGGCTGGATCAAGGCTCACATTCAATACCTGAAATCTTTGCTTGGAGCACGTTAGAATCGTTTGAGAAGAATTTGCAAGAAAGACACAAACCTCGATATCCTTGCCATTTTCGTCGGTGAATCGTGATTGCCCGAGGTCGTGCAAACCGACCATGTTATCTAAGTGAGAATCCTTCTCGAAATTACTTTATTAGTGAAATTCGCGACGTTTTCACCTTCGGTATAGTGTAGTGCCTTGATTCTCACGTATGTTTTGCTTCCAGCAATTGCAAATGCACCACGATGATCTAGCGAAAATGGGGTACATGCCAGGCATAGCGCACCGCCAGAATGATATGTGACTCGATGCCAGCGATCCGGACTAAGTCCTTGAATAAACATCACACTCATTTAACAGAAAGATCCAGATGAACTTTTCCTTTTCTTTCGAAAGGAAATGACACATTTTCTTTTGTCGATTTTTATAGAGGTACAGAAAACGACTTGATGTTAAAATTTGTTCAGTGTTTGCCTATGCACAGAAATTTCGATATTCAACAGCAACTTGTACTGTTTCTATACCTGTTATAAATTGAATATTACAAGGGAAGTAACGAAATAAGGATCTTAGAAAAGCGGAGTTCGTAGGTACGGGATGAAGGCTATGGGATCCTAGAAAAGCAGAGCGCATGTGTATGGATTGACAGCTATATTAAACGTGTAAAATATTGCGTAAAGCACGAAGTATGGTTCTTCTTCGATGGTTTTAAGGCCTCATCCTGCCTGGATTGTGTTCCTAGGTATTGTATGCAGGTATATATAAGTATTTTCCTATTTCGAAATCCAACCCAGAACGGGACTTCATGCTATCATCAAGGTTACCCAAGCTGAGAAGAAGACTAACATTTCTATCTCGAAGTCTAAGTCGGAGTGAATTTATTAAACGGTAGGGCCCGATGTTACATCTGTTAGCATGTCTCTTCACAGACATTTAAAATAAAACGCACTGGATAAAAAAACACTAGGACTTCGTGTTCCTAGAAAATCCAGAGTCTACTGGGCTGCTATGATGAAGAATAGGGACCAATATACCTAATTTGTCGCCAATCGAGGTACCCGATGATTAGTAAAGCTAAAAGCTGAAGCAGACGATTAAGCAAGCTGTGTTAAGGAATTTGACCCGACATTTGTTACGTTTATGTCAATTTTAAAACCAATTTTGCTTAGTTACAGACAAATCGGTAAATAGATTGGTGGTCAACAATTAAATCATCTTCGCTTTGCTTATGAAATCGTTCTTATAACATCGAGTACTAGCAAGTGGAACAACACTTGCCGACTTTGACGTCTATGGAAAGATTGGCCCTAGACTATCTCACAAAAACTATATTCATAAGGAACAGTCTGGTTTCGTATGACTCATTCATGTTCGACGGAATGAATGCCTCCGAATGCTCCAGTTACACCAATCCAGTTCAGGAAGTTAGCGAACTTCAAAAGCATCGAGGATGTAGTGAAGAAAACTAAGAGCACCCGAATCGCTGCCCATCTTGTTGACTCCAAGATTCTTCCTACCTTAATTAATGTATGCGTGAAAACCTGGTCACTACGTATACAGGATGAGAGATTACACAGCGTTAATGAACGTGCTGTCGAAAGGACGATGTTCAAGTGCCCCGAATCACGCAAAAGAGGGAAGAATCCGAAGGTCCGACCTAGGTTAAAGTCGAAAATCAAAGATGCCGTTGTAAGCGCCAAACTGTCGAAGATAGGGTGGGTCAAATGCGCAATGCGTATAAAGGACAACCGATGGACAACAACCGGTACTGATTGGATTCCTCGGAATGTCAAACGCACAACAGGAAGACCACCGACTCAATGGTCAGAGTTCTTCATGAAAAAGCCTAGAACAAAGGCACGATGTTTAACGAGTCGCTAGAGCGGGCAGAGCCCACTGGACTACTTTTGTATACGCAGGTAGAAGTACAAAATCTACGAGCGCCCGCTCGGGTCAGTCGACGATCTGCGGGCTGACAGGAGACAGAAAGTCCAGTATGACCTCTTGACCAAAGAGCTACGTAAGCCTAGGAATGTGAACGCGCACTCTTTGGGTTCAGGAGAATCTTAAATGCTGAAAAGGACCTCAAAATACTGTTCAGCAACGAAACCAATAAAGAAAAAAATTATGCCATAGAAAATAGCACCATTTTTTTCAATGAGGCCCATAATGCATTGAAATTTCTTTCTTGTTTTGCTAATCTTTTGCTGAAAATGGGGAAAGCCATATTGCGTTGGATATTCCTAAGTTTTAGGGGGTTTAAACACTTTGTGGTGTCAGAAAAGTTGACAGTCTTCAGGTAAAGGAGTTTCACTTATTTTCATTCCTCGGGAAGATTTTATTTTCTTTTTTCCTTACCAGTATCTCTTTCGGATACAACCACTTCCACGTCAGAACAATGAAGTGCCAGATAGGTGTCCTCTGTTGGCAAGATCTTCAAATCGTTTACAGGACCATGAGAGAACGGATGTGCCATCAGACTACTAAAATGTTTGTATGAGAATGGGTTAAAAAGGAAAATTGTATTGTAATGAAAGCAACAAAGTCGGCTTTCTTGTTTGCTCAAGCTGGCGAGCATGAGATGTTCATGACCATCCACGATAGCGTTGTTTCATTCCCTACTCCACCCCCCCCTCCCCTCCACGCCACCCTTTTGCAGCGCTTTGTATCGTAGTCCAATCTGTGTTTTAGATAACCTTTCTAGAAAATTCAACGTAGCTTAGTTAAAAAATGTAATTTTCTGGTTTAAACGAAAACCAAGCCAAAACTAACCTAGCGATGATGAAATGATCATACTTTCGTTTAGGATCAAATTCTAAGTGCAGCAGACCACCAGAACAGCTACCGAGGATCTAAACGAGCAAAAATAAGCATGAAGAAAAACGGTCGACGAAACGGAACAATGATGTTCCCTTGTTCCGTTCCTTCTTTTTGCTTCAGTTCTTTGAACAAAAATGACCCCAAAGCAAATTTAACACAACAACGTGTGTTAGATTTTCCTTCCTGGGACAAACTTTTCTTCCCGCACTTTTCTCGCCATTTCCTGACGTTGAGCTATCGGGAACACGTTGTTTTTTGGATGGTTTTTTTCAACTATTGCCATTTTATATTTTCACCCTTTGAAATGCTCCTCGTCTTTTAGCACTTACTGTGATTGATTATTGTGACAAACATTTACGCAATACAACACTTCTCCTTGAGTGATTACTGGTGATATACAGCTATCATTCCCTTGCCAACGTCGTCAAAGCTGAAAAGCAGTTTGGTTCTTCTAACTGGAAACTCGCTTCAAAGGCCTCCAGTTGAGAGGTTGTGTGCTCCAGTCAAAGGAACCTATTCCAAAATCGACGGTCATGTGGAAATAAGCCTGGTGGATGACAAACTTAGCCCCGATATGGATCAGAAGCATTGGCGATTACATGAAATGGCTAACTGGAAGCACCACAACGGAGCCATAGCGAACTCTGAGCATAAGAACTTTCTCGGTGAGCAGAAACCCGGTTTTACTACTGCGCACAATGATCGCTTATATGAGATTATGCGATATAACAACTGATTAAAAGAGATCAAATCTCATTGTATATCAAAGTGGTACCAGGACAAAATAACATGCACTTGCCTCCCGTCGCGTTCGTACGGTCTCCATCTTCGTTTTGGCACTTGTACTCCTTACCCTTCTGGATTTCGTCACATCGTTAATATTGCATTTCTGCTACTACTATGAAATTCCCTTATATCAAATGAACAACACTATCATAACCTCGGTAACTATTTCAGCAGACGATAACAAATTAGGGTGAGCCACAACGAAAAGTCCTATAAATCTGGTTGTCGGGAACTTAACTGTAAAAGTAGGAACCAAAGGAGGTGAAGGCAGATGGGAATGGGACCATCTCGTTGGACTTATGCCCAGAATAGCCCACTTCCATTTAAGCTTAGGGTTTGGTGGTAAGCTTATCGTGCTATGGAGGCAAATGAAAGCATCATAACATCACCGTGAAACTATTAAAAATTTTACCACCTCCAAGTATTTATTCATTTTCTATTTTCACATTTATATTTTGCGGCCTCAGTGGGGCAGACTTTACTCAGGCTGTCCCCTGGATTCCAGAGAACCACAATGGCTTAACCAGCAAATCTCCGAAAAGTGGTGATTATGATGGGGCCCGCACAACTAGTGAGGACGGGCCGTTCAAGTATCAAGTAAGTATTTCGCGGCCTCAGTGTACACTTCAAACGATGATTTCAATTCCTGCAGTAAGGAAAACCCAATGCTTTCACAATCGCAGAAACGAAAAGAATATTTGCGTTTATGCAGTGATGCTTCGTTAGTGTTCTTTCAGAGTAATAGAACTAGTCAGCTGAAAAAACCTACTCGAAGGCTAGTTAACGTACCATTCCATCGTGTAGCATGAGAATCGACGTCAAGTAGTCGAACGAAGGCAGTGAAATCGGATTGCCAGCATCGAAAAATCGCTTTTCGCTAAAAGATCTCATCTCAACGGATGCTTTCAGTCCAAAGAAAAACGTAGGAGGTATTTGAAAGCTCAAGTAGTAGAACCAATTCGGAAGAGTTCAACAGAGAGTAGAGAAAAACCATGGCCACACCCGACTTCGAATCTAGCTATTTAGAAGACTCTTATAATGCTGAAACTAAATTCTCAAAGAAGCTTAAAAATGCATTCTCACCAAAAATGCGGTGTGGAACCTCGTTTTCTAAACTGAGACAAAGGTTTCCATGCAAAGAAAGAGTCGACATTAATTTCTGACATTCGGTGACGACTTACCGATAAAAATATATAGGAAAAACTTCTTTATTGTCAGTTACATAGACGCCGTCGACTCCATTCATCAGACATGCGGCCGTCAGTCGTGTATCGTACTGCGAATCCAGAGAAATCGAGGCCACTCTAAACTGCAAGCGTTTGAACATGCTTACAGTTCTGGATCGCACTTAGTAAGAATAGATACTAACAGCACAAGTGTACTTGTAGAGTCGCCTTATTGTACCCCATATATTCCTCTCGCAGTTTGATATATGTAAGGACTTGCTTTGAACCCCTTTATCAACCGAAGTGCCACCCATCTCAGGCTGGGAAATTCGTAGCAGATTTGGCCGGGATCAAATTACATCCTCCAACTCAGAAACCTGGCTGTTGCCTATGATGAAGCGTGGTAATGCCTAGCAAAGGTATTCCAGGATTCCAGAAAGAATCAACACCAGTAGCAAATTTTTAAATCCGTTAGAAATGAGCATTCTATTCCACAGGAATGCGCGAAACCTCAATGATATTGAAGTCGAGTGAAGTACTTGTGACCATCTAAGACCTTCGCAAGATCCTTGACATACGCTATGAAAATTTAAAGACTGAAGTAACCCGCCGAAGCAAAGAACCTGTATGATGATTTGTCTCCCGCAAGTTTTAGTGAACATAGCACTGGCAACAGAACACAATGTTGTTCTTCTAAAGCGCAACAACTAATCCTCATCTATATTCATTTTACTATAAACATTGAGCTGATGAAACATGGGATTCGTTAGCAATTGCACCAGCTGGCTTACCAGTGTCGACCTAATCAAGTGGAAGCCAGGAACATCTCCATTTATTTCTAGCAAATACAGAATTAATCAGTAGATTCCACTTATTAGAAATTAGTATAACTACAGCATTCGATTATCGTGAGCAGAACAACAGTAATGTGGTTTTCCTCAAGCTTAGCAGAAAACCAGTTATTTCACTTTTACCTTGGGTCATTCGTTGTGCTTGGCCAGTTGATGTTATGAGAACAATGTCATCATCAAGAAATGTTATCTTGTAGCATCTCATCATAAGCTTTCATATCTATAATATTCATTCCACTTTTTTCAGGGACTACTCTCTTTCTCAAGGGTATATCCTAAGCAGCACTTTTTTAAACGCGGGATTAAGAAATCCTGAATGTGCTTTTTACACAGAGTCATAACTATCAAAGTAAGTGTTTCTCAGTCCTGACCAAGATGGCCCAAATAGATTTTCGTGAGAAGGAGGCAAATTTACCGATACTAGCCTTCTCATTTCTAAAGCATGTACAGGTTAGCTTTTGGTGCACGTTAACCCTCTGGCATCTCTGACTACCCAGATTTCAGAATAATCGGCCTGGAAAATCTTAGCGAAAGGATTCCGCTGCGAGATTTTGCCCATCGATCAAATCGCTATCCGTTTGTAGCTGTGCTTTTATGCCTCGATTACATGACCCATGTTGATCTCTGAAAGATTCACGACTGTTTCGCTTCGTTGACGGAGTTCTTCTGCCTAGTAAATTCGTCGTTAAGAAGAACCTCTGTTATTGTGCAGGGCGGTGTCGTCTAACTCTTCGCAAGAAGTCCCTTACACAAGTCTTTTTCTTCAATTTACCTTATACGAGCAGTAACAAAAGCATAAGCATAGTACATGTGGCAACAGCATTAATCAAGGAAGTTTCACTGTCGACGTACCGCTTTCCTTTTCGAGGATATACTGCCAACGTAGTGAGTCCGGACATACAGTACAGGGTTGGTTCTCGTTGAGCATCATCGAAAAGAAAGTGAGTAAAATGGTCCTTAATGGTTGAATGTGGAGAAGAACACAAGGGAAGTAAACGAAACGATAGAAAACATGAAAGTGCAAAACAGTCTGAATAAGGTTAACCTTCTATTTGCTACCTACTAAAAATTTTCACGGCAGGGTATGATATGAGATACAACCAGAACGATGGTGAGATATTCGCAAAACCTGGGCCAGATCGAACCACAATTGCCCTTTCCGTGGGCTTGCATATTATACAATGCACCACTGAGGACTTTGCTTTGCGTTTCTCTCAACTAGTTTTCTATCTGACGCTACCATCAGCAATCGCCGAATAAACTTACGTTTTTTTCGGCACGATGTTCAAAAATATGCTGTGATAGAATGAGACGCATGTCTTTGACTGGATCATTACAGCCGCTCATAGACTCAATAATACTGGACACCTAAATATTGATGTTTTGATTTTTCAATCGTCTTTCATTAGTCCTTTCGCGACAATACGCATTGATTCCGATATGCACGCCGCGCGCGCTAAGGACCGTTCATACTGGTCTTCAATGCTCATGTTTTGACTGGCTGACTTTTTCCCATAGAGATTGCTTGCCATGCTTTTTGCAGTAAATCGAGAGCCTGTAGAATAGAAATGTTATAACTCGAAAGATCGACTTTCTATAAACCTCGGCATTGATAGTTGATATATTTATTTATGTGATCTTGTAAACTGATCTTCTTAAGCTGACGCGAGGTTGGTACAGATCTTCGTTGTCGTTGTCGTTGTTTTTGATTTTACTGGTCGATGGCTGAAGTTTCGGCGACTTCGCCTTCCTCAGAGCCTGGATGTACTTTATATTAGAATATTTCTATTATTCGGTGGAAAAGAAAGGTTAAAGTATTAATGAAAGTCAAACTCTCAAATAGACGCCATATTGAAGAGAAGGGCCACTCACCGTGATGTTACGTGCGGGACTGGCCCACGTGTTGTTCAGGGTTACTGTGATAGGAGGTATAACGCTTCCGGAAAATGTGCGTCCCTTGTTAGAATTGGGCCCGAATTTTGCGGCTAGTCAACCCATTTCTAAACCAATCCTGCGCAGGATCACGTGTAGTCTACATGAACTTCAAGATCAGCTACGTTACAGAGTTAGGCTAGAAAGGTTAGGTAAAGTAGTATCAAGGGGAGAAGTACCACCAATACCCTTTCCTCGAACTCTCTTTAAACAAGAGCTACCAAATAGCGACATTGACCCTGCATTTCGCTTATTTTCGGACGAAATTCTCCGCATACTTAATCACTACCAAAAACGAAAAAGAAGCTCCAACCTCACACACCAACAAAAATGTGGTAGGCGCCAGGTTAGAGAGCTCTTGAATTCAAAATCTGTTAGACTTTCTATTAGTGATAAAGGTGGAGAATTTGTAGTTCTTCCTAGTCAGTTGGATATTAGGATAACAGAGAAGCACCTCATTGATGTTTCTCTCCATCGAACATCCTCTGAAAAGGAATACAGAAATCAATACCGAAAATTAAATCAAGAATGGGTCAGCACGGCTAAGGCCGCGGGTTTAGAGCCTTCAGTAATTTCTCGACTTAAGAACGAATACCCGATTTGTCCTGTCCTTTACTTGCTTATTAAAACACATAAGCTTACTTCAACTGATGATATTACATCAACGAACCCATCATCATATAAAGTTAGACCTATCATCAGTTGCGTAGGCCGGCCAACGGATAGAATAACGTGGTTCCTAAACCTTATCCTAACCCAGCTGTTAAAATTCATTCCAACCCATCTACCTAACACCAAAATATTTCTAGATCACCTAAGGCGGGCGCAACCAAACAACACGCATATAATGGAGTCATTTGATGTTACTTCACTTTATACCAACGTGTCCAATGACTCCGCAATGCAAACCATTCCCGATTTGCTCGTAGAGCATGAAAAGAACATAAAAATGTACGGCTTGACGATTGCGCAACTAATGACCCTCTTAAAACAGTGTCTTAGTTGTTCAATCTTTAGGTGGTCTGGAAAATATTTTGCACAAATTAGAAGATTGGCGATGGGGCAGCGTTTAGCACCAAGCCTTGCCATCGCTTTCATGTCTAAGGTGGAAGCTCCAGTTCTCGATCACCGACCCTTACTCTACTGTCGATACACAGACGACTGCTTCATCGTCTGTTCCACACAAGAACAGATGGATGAGTGCTTTGAATTATTAAACCGACAGTCAGAGTATATAAAATTTACACGAGAAAAACCTACCGAGAACTGGCTTCCATTCTTAAACATCCAAATAAAGCTCTCAGTAAGTGGCTATTTAACAAAATGGTATCGCAAGCCAAGTAGTAAAAACATTCTAGTCCACTGCCTCTCCTCTCATCCTTCACACATGAAAAAAGCACTTGTCAAAAATATGTATCGTACGGCTAAAAATGTGTGTACAGGAGAAGAGGAAAGGAACGAATCGCAAAACCTGGCACGAAAAATTGCCATTTCCAATGGCTACGAAGTAGAAGCCATTCGGGTTGGAGGAAAACGTTGGGTGGTTCCCCAAAATAATATTTCAGACGACAGTAGGATCCTCTTTAAGCTGCCCTTCATATCAAATGAAGTAAGTCACGCCATTAAAAAGTGCTTGAGAAAAGTGGTCTTGAAAATTATGTAATAACGATTGCTGACATCCCACCCAATACCCTACGCCGCCAGTTAGTTCGAAACCGTCTCTATGATTGTTTGTGCAGCTCAGAAAACTGTATGATCTGTCCTCACGGGAGAGACGGGGATTGCATGAGTTTAGGTATAATATACTTGATCTCATGTAATGCATGCGGCGAGGAATATATCGGGGAAACGGGTAGACCACTTTGTGTCCGCATAAAAGAACATCTAGATGGGAAAGCTAAAATCCGTTTAAACACCCCTCTAGGTACGCATAGGGCACAAAAGCACAACGGCGATGTTTTTGAAGTGAATGTGCGGATCCTAGCGCAGGAATCAAAAATATCAACGCGCAAAACTCTTGAGGCGTTTTGGATAAATTTCAAAAATCCAAAGATGAACCGGAAAGACGAATACCTCACTACCACACGTAACCTGGCGCTCTATTTCAAAATGATATTTTGACCCCGGGGCGTATTTTGCTCGCGACTCCACGAAAACAACGCGTGGACCAGTCCCGCACGTAACATCACGGTGAGTGGCCTTTCTGTTCAATATGGCGTCTATTTGAAAGTTTAATCTTCATTAACACTTTAACTTTTCTTTTCCACCGAAAAATAAAAATATTCTAATATAAAGTACGTCCAGGCTCTGAGAAGGCGAAATTCGCCGAAATGTCAGCTCGCACGTAAATAAAGAAATAAAATAGCACCTCGCGTTTGCTGAACAGAATTTGGCGTTAGTTCTGAAGGAAGGCTCTACTGTGCACTTAGAAATATACAAAAATCGCCTTTCGAACAAATTCACTGGGGTGATCGACGGTCATTTCAGTTCAGATTTCCATAGTGGACCATAATTATCGTATAGAGTGTGCGGGTATAAAAAATACCGAAACAAACTCAAAATAAATTACAGAAGACTCCCAATTTTCTACAGTGATATCTTGATGACGGACCGTAGTAACACACAGTAAATGCTAGCGTACATGAGCCGTGCACCCATGGAACGACAGAGCAACTTTTTTCTCCAATACTACCACGTTTACAAACTCTCAATCTCTTTATTTTTCGAAAAATCACTGCTTATAGTTAAAAAACACCGAGTTCAGATAGCCAAAAAAGCCAATCGCCGGTGGTCTAGTGGGCCAGCTAAGCGAAATTAGGCATTGTCGCGAAAGGATTAAAGGCTCTCAGTACGAATCAAATATGTTCCTCATACGAAACCCATAGACAGAGAAAGATCAAACTGCTGTACAAAAGAAAATATAGCAAACTTCTTATGTAGTTCTAATAAAATTAAAAATGGAATCTCTGCGAAAACCTTCCCAAGCACGATCCGAGATAGAAGGAGCAGACCTTCTTTTCCCAGTCTTCAATCAGCGATATCGTTTCGGTGACCTTAACCTTTCTCAGGAGTTCTTGAATGGCGTATTTTCGCTCTTCAAAATCGACTCCACTCTTCGCAATCATACTGTAGTCACCACTCTTGACGTATTCGTTGTGAATTTTTGAAAACTGAACCAGTCCGTCGAGTTCCTGAAGAATGGATTTTGAATACAAATGAAATTTATACCTTGGTTTCATTCCTCATTCCCTGACTCCGAACGAGCCACCAATTCGACAGCGTTGGGTAGGACGAGTATGGAGAGGCTGCTAAAATCTCAGGGCCAATGGAAGCTGCCTGGATTGCAAGGAACTAAGGTGACAATCTGTACTTACAATGCACGTACACTGAGCCCTCAATAGAAGACTTGCTCATTCAAGCAAGAAGGGTAAGGCACGACGTCATGGAACTGATACGCCGGCGTGGAATCGCATGAGCTGCAGGCAACCGCGAACTAACGTCCGAACTTGCAAAACAGTGCAGACAGGAGATAAAAGAAGATCTTAAAGAGATAAGAGGAGCAGTAATGGTCGAAGCTGCAGAGACTGGGAAAAGCATTCGCAAATCCCACCAAAACTTTGCCAATTACCAGACCAAAATGATTGCACTCCGACGCCCAGACAGAGCAATTACAGCGTTCAGAAAGGCAATGGAGAAAATCATTCACGAATACTACTCGGATCTCTTCAATAGCCACGTCCACCTTCCGTCATGTGAAATAAAGGAGGAAGGATATTTTGTACCACCAGTTCTCCTTTCCGAAATCCGAGATACTATTTCATCAGTGAAAAATCGAACAGCTCCAGGTCTGAGTAGGATAGGACCTGGACACCTGAAGAACCTGCGTCACAGTTCTCATAAACACACTTGCTCGGCTCATCACACGTTATCTGTCTGAATGCGAGGCCCACATTCAATGGGAGACCAGCAAGACCGTTTTATTGTTCAAGAAGGGTGACCTGCACGATATCGGCAACTATCGCCCAATCTTACTCTCTGTGGTCTACAAACTCTTCACTCGAGTCTTCCTAAGCAGGATTGACAGAACACTGGACGACGAACAGCCATGTCAGCAAGCAGAGTTTTGAAAACGATTTAGTACGATGGACCACATCCACACGGTAACATGGCTCATTGAAGTATAGCGAGAGTACAAAAGACCGCTCTGTCCCACTTTCATCGATTTACAGAAGGCCTTTAATTCAACTGAGATAGAAGCAGTCATGGAAGCCCTTGATAGTCAAGGAGTCCCTACGCAGTACATAAAGATTCTTCGTGAACTGCACAAACATTTCACAACCAAGGAATCACCATTCTACAACAACATTAACATTGACGTCAAAAGAAGAGTTAGGCAAGCCGATACCATCTCGCCAAAATTATTTACCGCCACCCTCGAGAACGTCATGCTAACATTGGAATGGGATAATATGGTAGTGAAAATCGATGGTGGGCAGTTATATCATTTTCGCTTTGCTGGTAACATCGTCCTTATAACACCAAACATTAGCCAAGCGGAACATGTGCTTACCGACCTTGATAAAGGCTGTGGAAAGATTGGTCTTCGACTAAATCTCACAAAAACGATGTTCATGAAGAACGGATTGGTTTCGCATGCCCCATTCACGCTCAACGGAACGAATATCTCCGAATGCTCCAGTTGTATTTTTCTAGGTCAGAAAATCAACATGATAAACGACTTAGCTCCAGAGGTGAGCAGAAGGAAGCGAGAGACTTGGGAAGTTTTCAAGAGCATTGAAGATGTAGTGAGGAGAACAAAGAGCACCCAACTCCTTGCCCACCTTTCCGACTCCGCGGTACTTTCTGCCCTAACATATGCGCCAGAAACCTGGTCGCTGCGTAAGCAGGATGAAAGGTCACTCAGCGTTATCGAACGCACAGTCGAAAGGGCGATGTTAAGAGTATCCTGTTTCACATAAGTAAGGGAATGGATCCGAAGCTCCGACCTTCGTCAACGATCAAAAATCAAAGATGCCATTCTGTACGCCAAATAGTCGAAGAGAGGGTGCGCCGGACACGTAATTCGTACGAAAAACAACCGATGGACAAGAGTCGTTTGTGACTGGTTTCCTCGGGATGTCAAACGTACTACAGGAAGACCACCGACCCGATGGTTAAAGTTCTTCACAAAGAGCCTAGAAGAAACATATGATGCCCCACAATTTCCTAGAGCGAGGAGAACCCACTGGGCTGCTCTTGACGAGACAGTGAAAAATGGAAGGTTTACTGGTGCCTCGAGTCAGTCGACGATCAACGGGACTACAGGTGGTACAGGTGGTACAATGTGAAGGAGCTACATGATAGAGTGAATAACTGGTCTGATTCTGTTTTGGCTGCATGTTTAAAGTTGAACTCATTCATTCTATTCAGAAGAATGGCAGAACATAGGCTAGAGCACAACCTAACGCGCAAGCGTAGTATAGATATGGCTTTTATACGACGAATAATATTTATTCGGTTACAAGTTTTTCTGAAGCACCTGAGGAATTTAAGGTGCTGCCATAGATTGCTGCTATCGACTTAAAGTGCAGCGTTTATGCCAAGGAAACAGTATCAAAGCATTTTATCCATATTTGAAGCGGATAACGGTCTCTACGCAATGGTATTTCACGGTCTAGCCCTATAACACTGATCAAAACTCAAGGAAGATGTTCAGGTATCGTTACATAGGCTCTGCAGATCGGAATAGCAGAATCCAGAAACTAACTTCAGTGACCGAAAAGAGAAATTCTATACTCGAACCACTCAAACGAGCAATCTATACAGTTGATAATTTCGCTGCAGTAACAGTGTGCCTTCTTTCTTCAATCTTTCTCTGTTATATTCTCTTGAGTCTCTGAGTTGGTGAAGCAAAACATTTCTGATCACAGTTGTCAAACTACCGTGAAGTTTACAAGTCTTCGCCGATTAATCGGCTTCTCTTTAGCACCCGCATCAAAGAATTTAAAGAAATACACGTTGAGAACTTTCGACCCAGTTCAAAACGAGGACTCACCGACTGCGTTAGTTCGATTGAGTCGTTGATGGCGATGTTGGCTTCAACAGCTTTCTGGGAAATTTGTAAAAGTTTCCGAAGGGTGGCCAAATGTTGAGAAACACGATCAGCACGAATCTATGCTGAGCAACTGTTAGCAAAGTGCCTTTTTTTAATGCTACATAACAAAACATCATTGTAATCATTTGATATCTGAAAGAACAATATATTCAACTTAATGAATTGGAAGCCTTAAAGTCGAGATAGAATTTATACTAGATTTTATTCTACATGGATAAGCTGTGTTATTCTGGTACAGTGATGGCGTCGTTGATGGAGCTACACGAGCTTGCCAAATGTGATGAGAACGGACATCACTATTTCGCGTTATGTGAGCTGTAAGGCGTCAATGTTTTGTTAAATCATAAGCGAAGTTTCATTCTCAAGGATGAGAAAGTATACGAAGCTAAAATCGCACTCACGTGAAATCCCAGCAAAGCCGTTGTAAAATTATAAAAGGATGAAGGGTTTGCCATTATTCAATCCCTGGTGGATAGATCATGCATTCAACTCCATTTATAGCATTGTAGTGGTGATTGAATGCATATCTGGTCTAGCGCACATGGAGTTACAACTCGGCGCTAAAACGACCATGTTGTTGTCTTGTGACACAGGGGAAGTACTCTCAGCTTCTGGTGTGAAGGATCGACTCAATTTCCGATCTCACATGCAATCGTATACAAGTAGGAATGCGTGGTGCAATCGTATAAAGGAAGGGGTGCGTGCAGCGCAATGGCTAGAGGCGCCCCGCAATATAGATAGGATGGATCACTCCCCTAGGCTGAATAGGCTTTCCTTCCCTCCTAGGTTGGAAATTGGCAGCAGAATTGTGTAGAAGGACAGCAGAAGCGGTGTGCTTGCTTGCATGTGGACTGTGTCAAGCATACCACTTTTATCAAAAATCTTTAATAATCCCCAGGATGTGTTATCTTGAGGATGTCCAAAGTGCTTCGCATTTTAAAAAAGTATCACAAAACATGACTTGATCTAATGCCTGTTTGGTTACCCAAATTTTCAATATCTTTTCTTCACAATCAAAGTCGATTACCGAGTGATTTCGGAAGTCCACTTTAAGAGCATAGAATTCAGCATGTGTCGCCGAAATCTCTTCATCATTCGTATCTTCTTCTTCGTAGTTTTTAGGTAGTGAGGAATCTGATAGCTGGAATAATATTTTAAGCACAAAATAGAAACTTCTTAGAAAGTTTTTTCTAGTCATGATTCGACTAAGGGAGATTTTCGTCTCTTCTGCTTGTCCGAGGATTGTGTTCATCTCGATGACACACATTTGAGACAAGAACGGTTCGACGACAGTGGTTGTGCGGGCCCCAGCATATTCACCATATTTCGGAGATTTGCTGGTTAAACCATTGTGGCTCCCTGCAGTCCCGAGGACAACCTTGCCAAAGTATGCCCTAGGTCGTCACCACGGCAGGCAGTCGTAGCCCTTGTGGATCAAAGGGAGATTTTCCACCATGCGACTTTGATACTTGGACGGTGGTGGATCCTGGTATTGGTTTACTCTTGGCTGGGCTGCCTGATGAAAACGCCGGACTCCTTCTCAGCTTCGGAAACCTTGCTAAGGGTTGTCGGGCTATCAGATAGTTCATCTCGATAGTAATTATACCTCTGTCACTCAAAGCATGAAGGGCTGTAACTCTTCTATCTGAAAGCCCAGCTAAAAATTCATCGCACTTATTGGAATTAGAGTGGGAGAAACCTAGCAGTTAGTAGGAAAATCCCAAAAATCACTATAAGAACTTTAGGAAGTCAAATAGTGATTCTTATTTTCTGCCCCAACGTACAAAAACAGTAGAATAACGAGAAATTCTTCTTTTGCTTTCTTGATCCAAAATCCCTGCTCCGTTTCCTTTCGTTCACGCTGAAGGTGAAAAACCGAAATCCTTAATTTTAGGATCTAAGGTGTGATTAAATAGTTTGTTAGCAATTAATGTGCGGTCGGAACGTGTGAATGCATCTAACGTTTACTTTTAAAGTTTCATATGAAACGATCTATATCAAGGTTAGTAACCCAGAGTAAGCGCGTGTGGTCCTGCAAAGAAGTCACCTGTCATCTGTAGTCCCGTTGATCGTCGAGTGACTCGAGCGGGTGCCAGTAAATCCATTTTTTCCCTGTCGTGTGCAAGAGTAGCCCAGTGGGTTCTGCTCGCTCTAGGGTCCCGTCGAGCACCATATCTTTCTTCTAGGCTCTTCGTGAAGAACTCTGACCATCGGGTCGGTGGTCTTCCTGCATTATGTTTTACATCCTGAGGAATCCAGTCACTAACGGCTCTTGCTCATCGGTTGTCATTCATACGTGTTACGTGTCCGGCTCACCTTGTCTTCGATTGTTTGGCGTACAGAACGGCATCCTTGATTTTTGATCGTTGACGCAGATCGGAGCTTCGGATCCCATCTCTTACTTGTGTGGAACGCGATACTCCTATCATCGTCCTTTCGACTGCGCGTTCGATAATGCTGAGTGACCTTTCATCGCGCTTACGCAGTAACCAGGTTCCTGACGCACACGTTAGGGCAGGAAGTACCGTTCTGTCGAAAAGTGGGCACAGAGTCGGGTGTTCTTTGTTCTCTTCACTACATCCTCGATGCTCTTAAAAGCTCCCCAAGCCTCTCGCTTCCTTCTTCTCACCTCTGGAGCTAAGTTGTTCATCATACTGATTTCCCGACCTAGATAGATATAACTGGAGCATTCGGAGATATTCGTTCCGTTGTGCGTGAATGGAGCATGCGAAACCAATCCGTTCTTCATGAACATCGTTTTTGTGAGATTTAATCGAAGACCAATCTTTCCACAAGCTTTATCAAAGTCGTTAAGCGTATGTTCCGCTTGGCTAATATTTGCTGTTATAAGGACGGAGTCACCAACAATGCGAAGATGGTGTAACTGCCGACCATCGATTTTTACTCCCATGTGATCCCACTCCAATGTTCGCACGACGTTCTCGATGACGGCGGTAGATAATATTGACGAACTGGTATCGCCTTGCCTAAGCCCTCTTTTGACATCAATGTTAATATCGTTGTAGAATGGTGATATTTTGGTTGTGAAATTTTCGTACAGCTCACGAAGAATCTTTATGTACTGAGTAGGGACTCCTTGACTATCAAGGGCTTCCAAGACTGTTTCTATTTCGAACTGAATCAGCCTTTCGAAGGCCTTCTGTAAATCGATGAAAGTGAGATATAGCGGTCTTTTGTACTCTCGCGATACTTCAATGAGCCGTGAAGCAGAGAAATGGTGGAGTACAAATGGCCATCTTCATTGGAGTGATGTTCTAGAACAGTAAACGATTTCAGGATTGGTTACGGCTTACAATGGATGTAAAACTCATTTAACAAAATTGCTTGCATGAAGAGCTCGCCTCTAAGGTTACGGTTTTCTTTTACTATTTTTGCTTCTAACAAAACTTGGCCCACTTTGCATTTCAGCGTCTCCATTCTTGTCACCATAGCAGTTCGTTTACTCTTTGCGGTATCCTGATAGTTGAAGAGACGTTGGATTTCGGCGGTGATCACATCAAGCAACAAGTTCACGTTGTTTTTAGAAGCCGATAAACGCTAAATTGTTATTGTCTCTTTTACCCCAAAACGATCGATTTTTCGTTCACGTAGCGGCTTGCGTCGCGGTTGCTCGTTAGCCTTAACTAGCTCGGACTTATCCTTTAAAATAACGAAGTATCAACTAATTTTGATAGAACCAACACAAGAGCGCTTTTGCAAAAGGTGCATTTGTATGTTTAGAAAAAAACCCAAATATTGGAATGCGGAGACTATTATTTTTGACAGATCTTCTTTCCTATTTGATCGTAGACCTTTTTCTTGTTATTTAGTAAAAATGAGCTTCGTATCTGTATGCAGAAAGTATATACAGTATATACATATTCTGCTATAATCAGATGGTTTTTATAAGTTTTCAAACAATTTTCCCTAAATGTAGATAGGAAAGCTTCAGCTAATCACCTTCCAGAATAGCTGACTAAGGTTCCTTTGTCACTCACGACAATCATTTTGCATAAATCTGGAACTTAAGGTTTCGTATACGCAGTAGTCAACTGTTATAAAGATAAGGGATAAAGGATAAAGCACTCGGCGTTAATCAATTCCTGAGGAATGCGCTATGCACACGACCTCATTAAGTATCGTTGGAGGTGATTGAATGCATACCTGGCACTTGCAATGACTCGTGGTGGCCTCCTGATGTATCGAGACAGTGCCCTTCCACACATCCATACTATCCTTCCCACACAGGTTGGTACCAATTTGCCGATTCCGGTAGGATGGAAGGCTTGATGGGACTGGGCTGCGAAGATCAATCACACGTGTGTGCCGAAGGGTGCCTGCGACCACTGCGCCACACGCGCCTTTAGATGTCATGAAATCAAAAAGAATTCACAGTCTTCATGAATCTCGTGAAGTTGCGAGCCTATGTTCCACTGACTTTCCCGAGACAAGAAGTGTTAATTCTGGCTTACAAAAAGACTTGCACGGACAACGGCTGTATAGGTAAGTATTCCATCCTTTACCAAGCTCACTACCAATTTATCCATGGTGTTCGCTGAGTGAGCATAGTGCAGTGGTTAGAGGAGCTACGAAATAGAAACGCAGACGTTGGTTCAACCCTTCACATAGGCAAACGAAACGCTCAGTCGATGTGTGTTAGTACCAAACTTGTCTAGGAGAGTAGTGGGACTGACTTAACACGTCGATATACCACCATAAGTTATCGTATAGGCGAAATGAGCGCTCAAGTACTTCTAAGATGTTTGAAGAAGTCGAATGTATGGCGCACCCCTCAGGGATTGATCGGTGAGGAATATTTATCTTTTATTATTCAAGAGGTGGCGGGAATAAAAACAAGAACACTTGTCATCTAAACTGGCTTCTAAACTTGCTATTGTTCCGTTTTGGGCACACACACTTCGTCGAACATCACAGCTGGTTGAGTTCAAATTTTCTAGGTGCCGTCCACAAAAACACGGTTGACGAAGTACTTATTCACTCGCAACTGGCTAAGATCACCGAATTGGTGAACATTTCCTATATTCGGTACAAAGATTCAGTTAGCCATTCATTCCTGCCTATTCAAATTTCCGAATAATAAAAACGATCCACATGGAACGGAATTCCGCTAACCTGTACAAGAAGCATGTCTTCATATTGTTCGACGATAACACCCACTCGTACATAGCCGTCATAGTATGCTACGTGAAGAATTCCACCATCACGCCAAAGCAGTCCTGATTGGATCGGACGCCTAGGATAAGGGATTTAGAGGATGGCGCTTTTAGATGAGTGAGAGAGGACAACTGCCAATATGCGATAGATTTCTCAAAATGGAAAGGCTGTATGAGACAAATATAAAGCCATTGGCATGCAAGTAATAGCAAGATTTACTGCAATCTCCCCAAATGCAGTGAACCCCTCGACCATTCATGGTTCATAACCTACTTAGAACCTCAGGGGGTTAAATACGATTTAGGAAGTTGATACTCTTTAGTGATTCGTTAACGCTTTAAACAGGAATCCGCTCTGCAAGCCAACAGAATCGACAACGCTTTTGGAAAAAAAAATGTCCGGAGTGACTTGTGTGCAATGCATGTGCGGAAGGGGCGAAATGAACGAAGGGCATCGCACGCGGTGCATTCCCAGTTCAGTTGTTTTACCAGAGAAAGCTATTCTGCTGCAACTTTTGTGTTCAGTCGATAGCTTGTTCAAAATATGTGTTACAGAGTGTGGCCTATGGAAAGTTATGCTCCATGTTTAACGATTTACAAAGCCTTTTTTTTTTCGGACGAGCTCGTTCTGAGACGAGAGACTGCCGACGCTGAAAAGCGCACAGACGACCTCTCTATTTGAACACGAATTCGATACTTAAGAACAGCTTTTCACCATGATCGAATGTTAAGCGATTAGGGAATCTTCCTCAAAATGGTTCGGCTTCCAAAAAGCATGCGTTCGTCGATTGTATTTAACGCAGTTTCTCCTTCGAAACAGTTGTCATGTTTTATTACCCAAACTTCTTGTAATTTTTTCAAAGTATTACTCATAGATTCTTATTTCACACTCTAGATTTTATAACACAATTCATCCAAACATGCTGCTTGGAAATCTTGGATTTAGAAAGAATACAGAATTAACAACCTTTACATGAAGTATTATTTACTGCCTATTCTTTTTAACGGCAGGGTATACATTGTGAAATATAACTTCAATGATGCTGAGATATTTGCAAAACACCGGACCGCAGGTGTATGCGGTGGAAAACGAAAGCGCTATTGTCCTTACCGGGAGTAGCGCACTTCACCACCACACCATCCGGGTCCTTCGTTTTGCCTGTCTCTCAGCTAGTTCTATCGATCTTTTTGCCATCAGCAATCATCCGTCAACGGGATTGATTTGGAGGCCCAAATTGGCAACGAACCCAGTTAAGCTGAGGCCGTAGTTATAATCACAATTTAACGTATTATTTACTGCCTATTCTTTTAGAACTAGTTGAGAGACAGGCAAAACGAAGAACCCGGATGGTGTGGTGGTGAAGTGCGCTACTCCCCAGTAAGGACAATAGCGCGTTCGTTCCCCACCGCATACACCTGCGGTCCGGAATTTTGCAAATACCTTACATAAAGTTTGCATTGCTTACATGCATCCTAGTTTTCGTTGGAAATTGCCCCTTTTAAGAAAAGCTGTCTATTTTGTACGAGGAATAAACGTTTGGAAAACGTTCATTTTTACAACTTTTTGAAACAGCGGACACAGAAATAGGATATTCAGCAACTGCCACGACCGACTTTCTATTAACCTCGGCATTGATCAAGTGATTTTCTTCGTATTTTTTGAGCAAACGCGAGGTGTTATTGTTCTTTGTTCACGATTAAGCTGACGTTTCGGCGGATTTCGCCTTCTTCAGAGCCGCTTTCTATGAGGTTTCCACTAAATATGTCATGTAGAGACCAACCGCACAGAAATCACGTGGAAGTATGTCTAACATTTGCTCAACAAAAATACGAAGAGAATATTCAGCGTCGACCAATTCATTAGTGATGCGCCTTGAATTCCACTCCATCCGTGCCATCGTCGTGATTAATGGATTGAATATCCTCGATAGCAGTAGCTCTTAGGACGGCTTCGTCTAATGCCAACCTACTTAGCACTTTTTGCAGCACGCTTAGATTCTTAGTTCCCTGATTTCGGCTTGTAATATCTACTCATCACTTCCGCGGTTTCGGCTGGTCGGCCGGTCTTCCATACGTTCACCAAACACGAATCTGTGAGCAGCTCTAAGAAAGCTCCAAGTACAGAGAGCTTCTATCTGGTCGCTTATGTCCACAAACCGCCTCCCCTGGCTTCGGCTTTCAATGAGTTGCGGCACTGGTGCACTAGAGGAAAAGGTCTCATCATTTAGACAATGTCGCTCATATCACTTCGCCACCATTACACTGCCCTGGTTCTGTTATTCTGTTCTGTTATTGCTGTTCACTGCTCTCTTTCCAGCTCCAGAATAACGATGTGCTTGCGAAGTTCCTTTCCTCTTTTCCTACACAGAAAAACACGATGGGTTCTCTTCTGCACTAAGTTCTCAATCACTGGAAAACTTGTATAGTAATTATCGACATTGACAGGTGACATCTACTTGCCTATCATGCATTGCATTTTCGGCAAAATTAAGGGTTGCCGGCAGGATGGAAATTCTATCCTCTCTAATCACATCATAGAATTCATTAGGATGGCATGCTAGTGCACGACTAGAACTCTAACTGTCCTTCAGCTATTTTATTTCAGTGTAATAGTTCCCATTTTAACCCAGAAACCAATGAATTCTTCGTGAATGCTTGACGCTTCCCACGGCTTTTCTTTCTGTATTGCACATCTGTTCAATTTTATCACAGACATCTCCCGAATGTGAGCCATAAATAAATCATAGAAATGTGTTGTTTCTGTAAGAAGTACGAAAGAAATCGGAGCATTGTCGGAGCAAAAATGCTTTATCCATACGAGACTGGTTTTCATTGAAGATCCAGCCGTTGTGAGGGAGTGCACCGTTAGAACACTCACCGCCGACTTCTTTATAATCACCATCGCCATTTATCGTTATTATCCTCTAGTTCATTTCCTTGAGACTCTTTAATCTAAAGGACAAGTGGTTCCACCCTGTACTCGGCTCCGACTTCTTAACAGTCACTATCAATGACGAGTTAATCGATCTTCTTCTGCACATCTTCTGACTTTATTCAAAGCCGTAGACTTCAATCCTTGATGAAAAAAGCTAATCTAAAACGATGTACGACTTTTAATTAGTAGCATGTGATGAACAGGAACTCCTTCAGAGAGCTTTAGAGTTTAGAAGAGATCTTAAAAGAAGATCTCTTCCACAAATCTCTTAAGTTCTCAGCTATCCTAGTTCTCCAGTTGTAAAAAAACCAGCATCGTCCATTATTTAAGGAACACAATATTCAATTTTTGGCAATTAGCCCACTGATTTTTCCCTTATAATTGTTATGATGGGTAATAGCAATAGTCAAAACATATGTGGCCGTTGGTTCGATGCTGCGAACCGAGCTCACTAAGCCTCGCACCCTTCTGCAGTCAGCTAATTGATACCATACTTGTTTGGAAAGAGAGCATCATTAAACAGATATATGAGTAAGCTACTGCAAGTCGTTGTCTAGGTAAGAAGCGCATTCAGTCACATTTAGCGATGTTTGATGAAGTAGAATGCACAGCGCATGACAGCAATGTATTTGGGCGATGGGAGATAGTAACATTTACAAATCTTTCTTTTACAAGACACATCATCACATCAGCTGCGCGGATTCAAACGGTTCTTGCACATGACTCGTATTCCTCGAATTCCTCGCCCACAAGGTTCCCCAAACACTTCGCACGCCGTTTCGGTCGCTACTTGAACATTTCGTCTTCTTCATGAATATCGTAGAATGCCGGTCGAATCAGTTCTCCTTGCAATCTTGGAGATAACAGAGCAAAGGCGTTTCCACGAGAACTGGAGGAAAGCGTTGGGGTGTGGATCGAACTAGTACCTTTGTTTCCTGACAGACGACAGCACTGTGCTAACCCGACCTTTAACATATAGGGAAATGGTACTATATACATTTCTCAACCGATAAAGCAACGGTTCTTTCACATCCGCGTTGCGTTCATAAGTCTACAAACCCTCTAGCTATCGAAAAATTCTACTGTAAAAAATGCCAGCGCTGTTTATTACGTGTTGCGTTCTAATCACGGTCGAGTTATCCACATCTGCAGTCGTCTTGAAATCAGGTGACGTGCCCCGCCGCTATCACGTAGAAATGAGCGTAGGAAATTTGTGTTAAGAAAATATATTCGAGAGAATTACCTACTAATCATGAAAATATCTCGTTTACTTCAAGCATTATGGTTCAACGGTTCTACTTTTTGTAAGTACACCACTGGGTGTCATAAGGTCGTGGAGAGTTCAGTAGCTTGCCACTAGGTTAATCCCCTACAACGAGGTGAATTTGAAGAGTAACACTGGTTTGCACAACGATTTCGTTTTTCTAAGCGCTCGACATTCACTAGGCCAAAACTCACGTGCAACGGTGGCATTGCAGGCATTCGAAGGTCGTTTCTTCCATGTGTGTGCTGAGACCATAGTGAAATATACCGCTTTCGAGAAGAAATGAGAGAAGGAGCTGAAATTCACTCTCCTCAAATAAAAGATGAAGAATGAGATCTTTTGAAGAAAAAACAGGTTATTGATGTTTCTTCCTTTTTTGTTACCTTTTTGCTTTCATATTAACTAATTCTACTGCAGTTTTGTCAAACTTGTCATGTCCATCCAATGAAGCAACGAGGTCGGGCTGCGATGTATAGCGGGGGATTGATCCCCCTGACAGAGTCTCCCAAGTTGAGAAGGAGTCCGGCGCTTCCATCAGAAATCCTAGCCAGGAGTAAAGCAATACCAGGATCCATCACCGTCCTGACATCAAAATCGCATGGTGTCAAATCTCTCTCTGATCCACAAAGGCTGCCTGTGGTGGTGAAGACCTGGAGAAGCCTTTGGCTAGGCCGACCTCGGAATTCCAGGGAACCACAGTGGCTTAACCAGCAAATCTCCGAAAAGTGGAGATTATGCTGGGGCCCGCACAGCCAGTGAGGACGGGCCATTCAAGTACCAAGTAAGTAAGTAAGTAATGATGATAATAATAACGGTAATAAACATAACGATAATAATGAGAGTAATAACAATAATAATAATAATAATAATAATAACGGTTAGAGCAACGACTTGTAAGCAGGGAAGAATATCTATGCAGATCTGAAATTCACCGATGAATTATAAGCCGTGGTTCTTCCGTTTCTTATATTTCAACTACTTTGCGACTTAAATTACGGAATTTTACAAAAATTTGTCTTCTGGATAATGCTTTTTAAAAAGGCTACTATTAGAGCGTCGAATAGTGAGTCCGTACGTCGTTCTTTCCGTGTCGTTCGACATTAAGTGACCGTATTGGAGCCGGCAGTCGCAGCATCCGATGCTCTGGTACCGCGCCACCTTCGACCAGATACGACTGGTGGAGCAGACAGCAGTAACGTTCACCGTGGACGAGAAAATGATCTGTAATGGAATAGCAGATAACGAAAGCCAATCTTCCGTACCGAAATGGTACACTATCATGCTTGGCAAAAAAATTGGTGGCCGAATGGTTCCTGGTGAAAACAAAGCGCGGCGACTTCGGGAAGACTTTTTAGAAGAAACACGTTAGTTATCCTTCTCTTTCTTGGGCTTACTACTCACCAGAGCCAAATTCCCTGTAATTCTTTAGTTAGGATGCGTGGAGTTTGAAAATATTCTTCAATATTGTCGCTCCCAGATTTAAGTCCAACAACAAAATCGACGGTGCTCGTATCTCTACCTCCTTGATCGATGGCTTTGATCCCGATCACGGTGTCCTTGCCACTGAACACCGTCACTACAGTACCACGTACGGGTAGGCCCGTGCTCTGTGAACGTTCCAGCTCTAACGGATGGAACACCTCTACGTCGCCACCGCATCCTGAAATCGATCCTTTCGTTGGTTTACAAATATTTTCATATGTAGCATACAGCATATCCCTTGGAGGTATGCAAGCACGAAAATAAGTACTATAACGCACAAGTTTAAGGTATTAACAAAGATAAAAAAGGCATGATGATATCACTATCGTCTTTGTTTCTCTTTACTCCGAATATCTTTTCACTTTTAACCTAGCGGAATGTTGTGTATCACATCGAATTCAGAAAATGGAAAACTTGGAAGGCTATGTAGGAGTGTTTGTTTGTTTCATTTACTAAATTCTGCTATTATACCAATAAGGAGCCTGTACGGCAGTGGCAAGAGGTGACCAGCTGTACACACTTGGTTCTTGGTTCGATCCCTCACCCCTCATCGGGCTCACCAAGCCTTCTAAACTTCCGCGTAAGCAGGCTGCTAGCAGAGTTAATTGGGAGGATAACGGCACTGACTTGACAGTTTGGTAGGCAACGCTAATTTGTTTTATAGGTAGGATATGCATTCCAAAAGCTCTACAATATTTGATAAAGTCGACTTGAACGGCGCGTTTCCAAGGATTGGTCAACGCTAAATCCTTTAACCTTTATAGTTTTATGTGCTAATTTAACTGCAAATTGTTGATTGAGACCTTCAGAATGTCAAACTAGAAAGCTTGACGTTTTGCCAAACGTCAAAGGAGAGTGTTTGAAGACGAAGAAGAGGAATGGTATAGAATAGTTGGTGCATCATTCACAATCTTTCTGAGGAACGTAGTATTCACATTTTTCGAACAGACCGCCATTTAACCTCCGTGGTAATAATCAGTATCTTCCTGGATTACTAAGCTAACACGAGGTTGATAAAGATGTTAATCAAAGATAAACATCGTTACGAATCACATGTTAGCTTGATAATCCAAGAAGATATATATTATTACATTATATTACATTGTATTTTACGATTTTACGATTTATATTTTATTTTACATTGTAATTTTCACCTTTTATTTACTGCTTACTATAATTTTTCACGTAAGGGTATTATGTGAGGTGCAACCACAGTGATGCTGAGATATTTGCAAAACTCCGGACCCGGAGGTGTCTGAGGTGGCGAATGAACTCGCTATTACCCCTCCCGAGGGCTAACGCGTTCACCACCACTCCATGTGGGTCCATCGTTTCGCGTTTATCTCACTTGCCAATGGAGTTGACCTAGGTAGCACGAATCGGCATTGAACCTAGTTAAGCTTAGGCTGTTCCTCGAAATCAATGTTAACTATCACCTGTAACAGACACCTGCGGTCTTGAGCTTTGTAAACAACTCAGCATCATTGTGGAATCCTTTGTATTTAATTTTCTGAAATTTTAGATTGCTTTTGTTTTCGACATTACCTGACAACAATCGACCATCGTGATGTCTGAACAACACCTTCCTCGGTTTATACGACGGATTGTTAAGACTGTGACCGGGCAGATCTTTGAGCCCTCGATGGATGAAGTGGGACGGCCTCTCATCCGAGATTGTCATACCCTAGAACAAGCACGGAAGATTTTCACTGAAATTTATCATTAGAACAGCTGTGAATAAAACGAATCAACAAAAAAACAAAAAAAAATCCGATCCATAGAAAAGAAATTGCAAAACGACAGCCACCTAGCAATTTCTATGTGCCAACCAGACGTCAAGGCATCTTTTCATTCCAACTTTTACTACAGACGATGGAAACTGGCAAGAAAAGAAACAAAGAACAAAAAAAGCAGAAAACAATCAAAGAATCTAAAGAATTTATTAAAGGTGAGATAGGAAAAAAAGAGTAGAGAAGAAGGAACTGGCGAAGAAGTGACATGGAGTGGTATAGAAAATACCTGAAGGACCTCAGGCATAGTTGGGATGCGTTCTACGATTTGAAGTTCAGGCGATTTCCATTTTCAGATAAATATTACTCCTTTAAATGTCGAGTAAGCGTCGCTGGAAGGTGCTGCTCAAGCTAGTGCCAAACTCCGGGGTTAAGTGACCACTTCTGAAACCATTTAAGATCATTATCGTCACAAAAACAACTCGAAACATACAGTCATCCAATGTTTTCTCGTGTGTTTCAAAAGTATCGCGGAGAAATCTCATTACATCTTAAGGTTGTAGCAAATAAGTACTCGGATGACACTTCAGATGGGGCAAATCAGTCATGAAAGAGTTGAGTTCACTTATTTTCCTCTTTAAAAGCTTAGAATGCCGAAGTTCATTTTTAACTACATAGAATGTTTCCTATAAGAAAGCGGCAATGAATGCGAAGATATTCGTTTCACTGGCGTTTCGTTTTCGTATCACTGGAATGAAAGAGATTCCTTCAGGTTAAACAGAGAACAATGTCTGTACTTTTTCGCGCAATTTGATACTGTGCCAAATTTCAAGAAATTTTTGTAAAACTCGACATTCCAGTTAATCTCTGGTGTTTTTGAAACACTGAAAAATTTTTATCGCTGTTTGAATATTTGGCAGTTCGAACTTCGCCGAAATCATCTGTCCGCTTCTTAACCACTAAGTGATTCAAAAAATCCGATCCCACTGCTGGTCCTTCTTGGTGAACGCTTGACATCGTAAAGGGCACATTCGCCAACAACTCCACTCCGACGGTTACCACTTAGATCCATTATGCATTCAGCCCACCTGATTCTAGATATCTTGTATTCTCTTTCATTGACAGACTAAAACGAGGTTGATAAGAAACCTTATACAGCCAACGTTTCGGCCATTTTGCCTTCTTCAGAGGCGGCTTGATCCGAATCGACGACATCCTGATTTACATATATACCTGGCGTTACTGAATGGTCTTCCTTCCAATGAGACTGGACAGAACAAAGGCAACATTTCATGAAAATCGTATTTTTCAACAGAAAAGCATAAAAGCTGCAGAAGTTGATCACCAACTTTCACTTCTACAATATCTACTCCAGTTTTGTGACAACATTTTTTATGAGTGGAAGAAAATAATCATGAGATGTTGGTAGAGTACAACCAAACAACTGTGTCCCCGTCAACAATGATCAAGAACTAGGTGACCGCTTCAGTCTCAAGAGAATTCGAAGTCTACCGTAAATCGATGGAAGTAAGACAAAAAGGATGAAGCTCTCGGCATTGATCAATCCTTGAATGATGCACCATGCATTTGACGTCATTAAGCATTGTTTGGAGGTGACTGGATGCATATCTGGCCTTTACAATGACTCGCGGTGACTTACCGATGTGTCGAGGCAATACTGCTATCCTCCCGGACAAGTCTGGTACCAATTTGTCAACCTTGGAGAGATGGAAGGCTTGGTGGGCCATGGGTGCCGGGATCAATTCCATGTGTGTGTTGCATGGCGCCCCCGACCACTGTGCTGCACACGTCCAGTACGCGGAAGTAAGAAATAGTTGTATGAATTATGGAGCTTGATGAATTTAATGTCCGTGTGGGCATGTCCGTCGCATTAAGCCTCCTTTCAGTTCAAGCTTGCTTATAATTCTATTCTACGTCCAATGTTCTGTCAATCCTAGTTACGATTAGTGAGGTATTAAACAAGCACATATCATCCGAACCGAGCGAAAGTGAACGATGTCGTTTAGGTCTCCTTCCCTATGAGCGCCGTAATCGATTCCCGCAGAAAGCTGAGATAGCAATGAAATCAAGAGCTTCGCTTCATTCTCGGTGACTTCAAAAAAAGTTCTGGAAGTATGGATTAGCACTAACGGTTTTATACACCATGATAAATCCGCACGCCTTCTCATTCTGCTCTTTTCATCCTAACCCATGGTTCTCACTGTGAACTTCCTCAAAGGTTTTTCTAGACGTTTTGCTTAATCTTAGTGTTAAGATTGTCAACTATGACCTTGAAGAACCCATACCGTAGAAATTCTCCAAATCCATACATATTAACTCGCTAGATCTTAGATTTGACTTTGGCGCACAAGCGAGGAATGCAATTGGGACTGATATTAAAGTAAATCTTTCCATACTTGAATAATTAAAGTCGCCAATTGTTCATTGTCAAATTCGTGTTCATAAAGGCGATAAGTCCACCAATTTCTCTAAATGTCTCTCTATTTCCAGCACCGAGGTTTAGTGGACTCATCATTTCCATCTGGATTAATCAGATGTCGTCATACTTGAATTGCATTTCTTTGGTTAAGTTAGATTAGACTGATTAGGGGACTCTCCTATAGATGTCGTACCACGCCTAAAAACTCTTCCATTCCACTGGTCGGCTCCTCGTGCAAACATAGTCGGCGGAGGTCGGACTTGCTTGTCGGTTCGGATATGCCTTCAACAGCTGTAACCTTCTACCTTCTTTGAAGTGTTGGACGCTGGTTCAGGGCCGCTTTCATTGGAATGTCGAGATAGACGCGTCAGAGTGTTCTTTCATGCAGAAAGCCAGGCCTGCGTCGATCGAATGGAAGTTTAGCGCTTGGCAATCTTCCAGTAGTGAAGCGATTACTACGACTAATACCAGTCGAGGACAGTGTTTCTGAAAGGTTGACCGCTTGCTAACGAGACTAACATCCAATGAGTTAAACACTGGTTTTGCTGATGGGGACAGAGTTGTAAGAATCATCACCGTGAATTAATACGGTAGGGAAATAAAACTTCTCGTGGACGATTTTGCAACTGTAGCCCAACAAATCAGTGTGGGCTAGAGATTCTTAAGCACTACGAGATCATTTAAATGTTGAACAGTGTTCAACAAGGCTGCGCAGTATCTGTAAAGTCCTAGGAAACCGTCATCGAAGGAGCGCTGTTTAACGTGGAGGCTGGGGACGGTCCAAGGAGCCAGTGTGGCACGTAAGCTTAAAAGATCGCCAGAAAAAAGAGCGAGGAGGAAGAGAAAAGGTGAAAAAAGTTCGACTTTGTGGTCTACACGTTCGATGTCCTGAGCTAGTTGTAACCTCAAAAACGATTATTGAGAGACGTAATGGAAGAGAATTCCTTCGATAAATGGAATGCACTGCCCCAACTAAATGATAACGATGGGTTAACCAATATGGGTTGTAATTAAGAATTGGTGAAGTTGTCGGGTTAGCTCATATAAACATAATAACGTAGCTAAAGTGGGATTACCTCGCATAAATATACTAATATACTCAGCAATAGAAGGGAAATTTGAACAAAGCATCAATTTCTTTTTGTATAAAGCTTTGCTAACAAAGGAAATCCTTTATACGTGGTCTTAAACGCACTGTTTTTCACAATGATTCCGAGATATTTGCAAAACTCCGAGCTGTAGGTGCCTGCGGGGACGAACGCGCTATCACTCTTTACGGGGACTAACGCGTTCACCACCACACCATGTGGGTCGCTCGTTTCGCCTCTCTCCTAGCTAGTTTTCTATCGATCAGCGCCATCAGTAATATTAATCAATAAAATTGTAATATTGTAATAGGCAGTAAGCAAAAAGTTAACACTGTTTTTCGTTTTCCATCTTCAAATTCAAACAATATCTCATCCAAATCAGTGATTTCCCCACGTTCTTGTCAACGAAATGGAAGCCTATAAAATAGGTAAACAAATTCTTGGTTTTTTAGAGGGCAGGAATCTTCAATAGTTTTTAGCAGCGGCTCGGTCAAGGATTTTTTTTGTGAGGCTGTTCTTAAGGATTTTTAAAAAGGGTCAGCCGCTTAGAAGTTCTATCACTAGGCTATATAAATTTTTTTTCAATTGATCACTGCCACCTAGAGAATTTGCAGTTCCTGATGCAGTGTCTCGATTTCGTGGCGATAGCTAAGTAAATATTTCGCCAGGATTCAAAAAGTTAACAAACTTACGGTTCATGATTTCTTTCGTCGAGAACGAGAAGTCATGAGAACCTTCTCTTGATAAGAACTGAGGTTCGAAAAATCTTAGATGCCTTGCACCTGCGCCCAACTAGAACAGAATGTTCGACTGTCAGCCTATTCCTTGCAAATAGTTTCACAGTGACAGCACTTTTGCTCTCAGCTCAATTTGTCCAAAACCCATCCTATCAAGTTCTTTTTTTCGAGATTGCCGTTCGACTGAAATGTTCTGGAACTGATCCTCACTCTTCCACAAGCAGTCGAACTGTTGCGAGTGCGCCCTCTTATGGCTATTGTTGATAGGCGAATCGTCCCTGATCTTCTTCACTCTCGAAAATCGTCTTCATCTCAAAATTTTTACAACCAAAGGGTAAAATTGGAAGCGAAAACCTTCTAGAACTTCACTGCTTTCTATCTTCATTGAATAGCTTAGAGCAAGCACGAAATAAAATGAGGATGAAAAAACTCCATGTGCGAAATTTAAGACTTAATATAAGAACCTTAAAGGGGCGTGCGGCGCAGTGGTCGGAGGCGCCCTGCAACACACACTGGAGATCGACCGCCGAGCCTGTGGCTCGCCAAGCGCCAAGCGTTCCATCCTTCCGGGGTCGGCAAATTGGTGCCAGACTTGTCTGGGAGATAGCAGCACCGGCTCGATGCATCGGTAGGCCACCGCGAGTCATTGTAAAAGCCAGATATGCAGTCAATCACCTCAAACGATG